TATATATATATATATATATATATATATATATAATTGTTATGGAAACTGGGGTACCTGCTCTCATGGGGCTCCCATGTATTTTCTTTTCTTTTTTTATTTTATTTTTCTCATTAGTTACATTTTGTTAATTCTGTATCCCTCATTCCCTCCCCAGTCCCACCCTCCCTCCCTCATCTCCTCCCTGCCCCTTTCCAAGTCCACTGATAGGGGAGGACCTCCTCCCCTTTCATATGACTCCATTTTGTCCGGTATTTTCAGGACTAGCTGCAAAGTCCTCTTCTGTGGCCTAACAGTACTGCTCCTCCCTTGGGAGGTGGGGAGGTCAAAGAGCCAGTCATTGAGTTCCTGTTAGAAATAGTCCTTGTTCCCTTTACTATGGGAAACCAATTGATTACTGAGCTATCAGGGGTCACATCCGAGCAGAGGTTATAGGTTTTATCCTTTCATGGTCTTTGGTTGAGTGTCCGTCTCAGAAAAGACCCTGTGCCCAGTTATGTTTGGTCCTTGTGGAGCTCCTATCCTTTCCACATCAAACTCCCCTTCTTTCATATGATTCCCTGCACTCTGCCGAGGGTTTGGTTATGAGTCTTAGTATCTACTTTGGAACACTGCTAGGTAGAGTCTTTCAGATGCCTTCTTCGGTAGACTCCTGTCATACGTTCAATGCATATCCCATTTGTCTTTCTAAATGAGGATTGATCATCATACCCCATGTATTTTCTTTCATAGAGTTTCCTAACTTGGGAGATTCCAAAAAGTTCACTTTTCATCTCGGTAAATGTGAGGTTTCTACTACTAGTTGAAGCTACTCTCTTTCTCTTTAAATTCAAGTACTGATTGTGTGTATTATACGTGCCAGGCTGTGCGGCCACCACTGGGAATTTAACAGCGAACAAGACACCAAAGGTCTTCATACTCACAACCGCTTTTTCTGTGATATAATCCATATACCACACAATTCACCAATTCAAATCCGTGTGCGTGTTTGTGAGTCTGCGCATACAATGCTTTAAAAGCCACACAGCTTCCGGAAGCGTACCACAGCATGCTCTACCTGAAGACAAACAGCCAGGCAACACGTCCCGGGCCACACCCTGGCCCCGGCAGCGCGCAGGAAGCCGCCGGCTTCGCGCTGGCGCACACTCGGCTTTTGATTGGCCCGGCCTGCCCGAGGGGCAGGCTGCGGGCCTATCTAACCCAGGGTCACCGCCTTCGCGAGCAGCCACGGGCTGAACATTGAAAGCGAGCTTCGGCGGGTTCTCCCGCCGGTGAAGGCTAAGTCCTCCTTTGGAGAAGCCAGGCCCCAGGCTGTTCCAGGAGGGTCGCAAGTCCATCTCTGTCCATTCTCTGCAGCAGAGGGGCGGGGCCTCGCCTGCTCCCGCCCCGGAAGCGGAAGCTTAGGCGTCAGAGGGTCCTGTCCACTGTGAGCCCGGCCCGTGTAGCAGCGGTTCCTCCCGGCGATTCTATCGCGCCCTCTTGGCTGCGGGCTGTCGCGCACTGCATCTCACCATGCTGTCTCTAGACTTTCTAGATGATGTGCGGCGGATGAACAAGAGGCAGGTGAGGTTGGCCTCCCTCTTTGCCGGGGTTCTCTGGTCCCTTTGCCAGACCTCTGGGCCGGGTTGAGGGCCTGCGTGGGTCGGTCGCCTGTACGGATCATTCCTTTCTTTGAAGTCTGTAGCCAAGGCCTCTTTTCCTCCATTCATAGCACCAGATTCGGGGAGCGAGAGGGAAAGCGAGCCTTCGCGATCCCTTCCTCCCAAGAAAGCAGGGGAGTAAGTGAGAACTGTAGGGCGCTTTGTAAATGGGAGTTGGGGTTCCTTATTGTTTTGGACCCTGTAAGGCGGCAGACTAACCGTTTCTGATGTGGCTCTGGGGATGGCCATAGCAGGTCCCACAAGAGCCGTTTTGTTGCTTTCATAGCGTAGCCACCTTTCAGCCCAGCTAGACCTCGGTGGACTTCATCCACTTTAACTTGGGTCGCTCTGAACGCGGAGTTGAAGCAATTATGCCACTTGAGTGCCAGTTCCCTTAGCAGAAAAGTGACAGCTCTCAGAATCCTTGATGACAGATGACAGTGGCACAGAAATCTTGACATTTAGGTCTCCCGATTTTATCCTTAAACCTTACTCTTTTCTCATCTCCTAGTTCATGTGCTAAAAGGTACTGAGAACACTTACCGTTTTCGTTTTTACAAAAGATTTCACCTTTTTGTCTTCTGAACCTGGCGTGTATGGTGATTACTTTTGCAAGCAATTGATCTTTGCCCCCTCCCCACCTCTCTTTTTAGCATTTGGTATTAAGAATTTTCTCGACATGACTGTTAAGGTTTGTTTTTTGGAATGGGACATTCATCTTGCACTATTTATAATTATCCCAACTCTCCAGTTGGGTCATCAGAACACCTTTTGTTGTTTGTTTGTTGTGGAGGCAGGGTTTTCTCTGTGTATCAAGCCCTGGTCGTTCTGGACTTTGTAAACCAGGCCGGCCTCAAACTCACAGTGATCTGCCTGCCTCTGCCCCCCAAGTGCTGGGGCTAAAGGCGTGTGTCCCACATCAGGATGGCTTTAAGGAGTGGCTGTCACTTAGCTGTATTTTTCTTGAACTCTTATTTTGTTGCTGGGGGTTGGTCCCAGAGCTTTGCACATGTCCACAACAAGCTACCACAGAGCCATACTCCTACTCTTGAAAGACCTTATTTTTATTGCTTTACTCATTTTGAGAGAGTCTTGCTATGCAGTCCTCCCGCCTCAGCCTCAGGAGTGGTAGATTTATAGATAAGTCATCGCAGGACCTCACTGGCTAGACTGACTATCTACCTGTCTATTGTAAACCAAAGTCTCCATAGGTAGCCCCTGCTGCCTGGAACTTCACTCTGTATCCCAGGCTGGCCTTGAACTTGGAATCCTGCCTTTGCCTCCTGAGTGCTGCACTACCATGTCAGGCCCCCAGTTTTTTGAGACAGGTTTTTTTTGTGTAGCCTTGGCTGTCCTGGACTCACTTTGTAGACCAGGCTGGCCTCAAACTCACAGAAATCTGACTCCCTCTGCCTCCAGAGTGCTAAGATTACAAGTAACCATATTTTTAAAAAGTTTGTTTCAAATGTAGTGCCAAGAGTCATGCCTAGGGCCTTTTGCAAAATAGGCAAGTGCTCTGTCTAGGCAATTGATCTGTCACTGAGCTATATCCCCATCTGGAAAGACACCGCCCCCCCCGAGATAGGGTCTCATTGTGTAGGCCAGGCTGGCTTGGAATTTAGAGTTCTGTCTACCTTTGGCAACATATTGAAGGTATATCCCACCATGACTGGCTAGGTGATCCTACCCCCTCTTATTATGTTACCAGAATGATTTTGTGTATGTTTGCTGCTGGGTGTCTTGAGATAGAGTGTCTCTGTCCCTCCTGGAACTCACTCTGTAGACCAGGCCAGCCTGAACTTCATCTGTCTCTAACTCCAGTGTTGGAAGTAAAGATGTGCACTACCATCACCCAACTTACTCTTCCAGAGTCTAAGCATGTTCTCTACCAGTAGACTATATCTGGAACTCTTGTTTTTAATTTTTTTTTCTTACTTTAAGAAAAGTATGTATATTCACCATGTGGGTCCCTGGTTCTGGGTAAGCCAAAGGAAGGCCTTGGATCCTTTGGAACTGGATTTCTAGTGGGTGAGCTGCCATCTGGATGCTGGAAACCAAACCTAGCAAGTGGTCTCAACCACTAAGCTGTCTCCAGCCTTTACTTGCTTATTTTTATGAGTTATTATTGACTGTGAGCGTGAGTGTGAGTGTGTGAGAACATGGGCATCACAAGCTACAGAGTACACGTGAAGGACAGCTTTTGGGAGTTGGTTCTCTTCTACCACCTTCCTGGTTCTCTCTTGTTTCTGCCATACTGGGTACCCCAGAGTCCATGAATGTACAGGCTGAGCTGTCTGACTAGTTCCCCTTCCTCCCTTTTAAAATTATACTTATTTTGTGTGTGCGTATATGTGGATGGTTATGAGTGTGCCATGGTACACAGGTGGAAATTAGAGCTTGACTTGCAGCAAGAGTCAGAGCTTTCTGCCATGTGGGCTCAGGGATTCATTAGGCTTGGTGGCAAGCACCTTTACTGAGCTGTGCTGTTGGCTTGTCCCAGGGGTTTTGAAAGACAGCTTTGCCTTGAACCAAGCATGCTAGCACACATCTGTAGTCCTGGCGTTTGGAAGGGTGAGCTAGCCTGGCCAACATAATTGAAGGCTGGCATGTAATTAAAAGCAAAACTTTGTCCCACAAAGAGGAAACCAAACCAAACCAAAACAAAAAAAAGCCCTAAAACTGAAACCCATGGTGGTACACACCTGCGACCCCAGCACTTTGAAGGCGGAGTGTGGTATGTGTGTGAAGAATTCAGGGGTTACAGGATGATTTCTGGGAGTTGGTTCTCTCCCTCCATCCTAGGGGTCCTGGAGATCAAACTTAGCTTTTCAGGTTTCATCCAAGTACCTTAATTCTCTGAGCCATCTCTTCACACACATACCCAAGATCACCTTTTAACTAGGGCTTCTCTTAATCCACGAGGCCCAGATTTGTAGAGTGTACCTACTTCTGTGATATAAAGCCTTCTGAAAAGGTTAATATATTGTTAACACCGTGGAAGGGAAATTAAGAGCAGCCAGTGCTCCTAACCTCTGAGCTATTTCTCCAGCCCGGAAAGGGAGTTAAGAAAAGATAGCTGCACACAACTATAATTTTTACTTTGCAGACAAACTAGAAAAAGCAACCTCAAGAGCATAGGTGACAGTAAGCTAATAAAATAGAATGTGATGAATTTAGGACATTACTATTTCTATTATTAATATAATACAATTATATTAATTTTATTTTTGACTGTGTTAGAAATTGATTCCTGGGCCTCACACATCACTTGATTTATATGCATATTCCCTGGAACTACTTTTTTTTTTTTGCCATCTATCTATCTGTCTATCCATCTATCTGTCTGTTTGGGTGGGGGAACTAGCATGGGGTGTCTTCTATCCTTCTCCATCTTACTTCTTATAAGATATTAATAATTTTTACTCCAAACTCTTGAAACAAAGAGTAATTATCTAAACTGATACCCCTTTAGCCATGCATTGCCATCTTAAGATACAGTAGTAAACTTTGTGTGGATCTATAAGGCATCTATATGGAATCACTTGGGTAGAAAGGCTTTTTTAAAAAAGATTTATTTGTTCTGTCTGCATGTGCACCTGCATGTCAGAAGAAGGCACCAGATATCCTTATAGATGGTTGTGAGCCACTATGTGGTTGCTGGGAATTGAACTCAGGACCTTTGGAAGAGCAGACAGTACTCTTAACCACTGAGCCATCTCTCCAGCCCCAAAGATAGAAAGGCTTTTAAAATTATGGACCATTTTTAATATCTTCTTTTTAATTTATTTTATGTTTTTATCTAATAGAGAATTAAATCACCTTCCTCCTTCTATTTCCTTTTGCAAGCTCCTCCCAGGTACCTGTCCTCAAACCCTTCATGTCTCCCCCACTTTTAAGTTAATAGCCTCTTTTTCCTTGATTATTACCAGTACATACATACAGACATGTGTATATGGGATTGAGTGTGGGGTTGTGTATGCACAGATATCTATAAATAAAGCCTGCTCAGTCTATTTTTGTTGGTGGTGTATATATGATTTCAAGGCTGCTCTGTAAGGGGACTAGTCCCTGGGAGAGGGCAGTTCTCCTCCCAGAAGTCATTAGTTGTCTGTAGTTCTTTGTCTACGGGTGGGACCCCTTAAAACTTTCCCTCTTCCACCTTAACGTGTCCATTGTTCTGGTCTTGTTTATGGGGCTTTTTCTAGGAGAGACTGTTTCACCAAAGGCTTCCTGGAATTCTGGCCCTTACAGTCTTTCCACCTCCTTTGCTTTCTTTCTTTCTTTCTTTCTTTCTTTCTTTCTTTCTTTCTTTCTTTCTTTCTTTCTCTCTCTCTTTCTCTCTTTCGTTTTCTCGTTTTCTTTCTTTTTCTCTCTTTCTTTCTCAGTTTTCAAGACAGGGTTTCAAGACAGCCTTGGCTGTAGACCAGGCTGGCCTCGAACTCACAGAGATCTGCTTGTCTGCCTCCCTGAGTGCTGGGATTATAGCCAGACACCTTTTTGTGATGTTCTCTGAGACGCAGATGCGGAGCTATGCTGCAGAGTCTTCTGCTGGTGCAGGGCTCCCCACCCACTCTGGGTCTCTCAGTGTGTCCAGTTGTAGTTTTCTGGGATGGTCTCCATTTGCTGTAAAGAGAAGCTTTTTTTTTTTTTTTTTTCTTCGAGGCAAGTTTTCTCTCTGTAGCCTTGGCTGTCCTGTAACTCATTCTGTAGACAAGGCTGGCCTCTATTGTTTTTTGTTTTGTTTTGTTTTGTTTTGTTTTGTTTTGTTTTGTTTTGTTTTGAGACATAGGCTTGCTTTATAGCCTGGGTTAGTCTGCAACTCACTATGTAGCCCAGGCTGGCCTCAAATTCATGTTGGTTCTTCTAGTAGAACCTCTCAAGAGCTGGGATCACAAGCTTCAGCCATTACGCTTAGTTCCATTT